TCAAAAAGTACACATTGCTACTTATAGACAAAGTTGTTGTGCTGTCACGCTCGCGACCTTGCTCGCCTAGCGAACATGCTAGCGAGGAATGAGGATTTGATTCTGGAATGTTTCACTACTTGCTCGTTAGGTGCTCGCCTAGCGAGTCCTTCGCCACCTTCCTCGCTGCCAGCGAATGATGCCAATTTGATTCTGCCCAAGTCTGGGAGTGTTCGCTACCAGCTCGCTATGAGCTCACCTAACGAACAGCTCGCTACCTCACTCACCAGGTGCTCGCCTAGCGAACATGCTTTTGCTCTTCTTCTTGCTTGATTCCTTTGCCTTCTTTCTTGTGTCTTACTTCTATTCTTTCATGCTTAAATACTGCACAATAACACACAAATTAAAAGGACCAAGAGCATTTCACATAATATTGCATATCAACAAAAGCAAGGCGGTTTTGAACACAAACTAGACAAAAAGGAGCGAAAAATGCCCATTTTTGATAGCTCAAATAAGCACAATTGGGCATCTAACAGTTATGATATTTCTTTTCTGTTGGAGTTTGATTTTGTTTATGTTTCTTTTTCTTCTTTATAATCCTCTTAACACTTCTTGTACCTTGAGATTATTAGAATTTTTGGAGATTTTCACGTTTCTTACTAATACACTAATTTGCCATTTAAAAAAATGAAGATACATGACTAATAAATATATCAAGTTCACATTACAGTTTCTTTTAAACATTTGAATCGAGACCTTTATTACGTTTGTCAAACATGACTTACAATAAATTTAGGAATATGATCCCATTGCATGGGGCTCTGGGGTGTGTGGTAATGAAAGTAGGTTTCTCCTACCATGCGGAAACATTTCCCTTGTTTTAAGCAAAAGGGCCATATGTTATTACACAAATCTCAATAAATAACTCAGAAACTTGTCTCTATTGAAGAAAAATGTTTTAACAATGAGTTCTCTTCAATGGTGAAATTGGCAAAACTTCATTAAGAACTTTCCCCAGAATTTATATTCAATATTCTCTCTGCCAGTAATAAATCATCAGGCGTAGTCACCTGCAAAACATTGCAGAGTTATTGATTAACATATGTAATCAGTGCCAGTGTTCTAAAAAACAACTAACCGGCATCTCAAAATCACGGTGAAAAGCGTACGTGCTGCACCCAAGCAAAGGCTACAAAGCTTTGTATAGTTATAAGAATAAATGGCTAGCCATCAAATATCCAAGAGAGAATAAAGTTGAATACCTTGATGTTGGTGTACGATCCTTCAGTGATATAAACAGGCTGTTTAAGGTGCTCCACAATGGACACATCATCAGTAACTTCAAGACCTTCTCTGCAAAGAAGGAATGTTGTACAAAAAATACCAGTTAGTTACTGAAAGGCAAGATATCTTCTCAACATTGTTGCGAATAATGAAACCAAATTGTCTAAACTTGTTACCACATAGGATACTATCACAATTAAATTAACAGAAGAATAGAATACTTCACAATGAAATTAAGCATACGAATAAGAAGCTACCTATTTACAAGCTCAAAGCCTTTTCTCAGCAACTCTGGTTTGATAACCTGCAAAAGATGATAAGCATTATAAGCAGTTGACTAGGTTTCCGAAAATAATTGATATACATTGTCATCTTTTGCAATTAGACCTGTGGGGTCTGCATTTCCCATAGTGTTTTTCTGTCCAGTGTTCTAACCACAAATGAATCACTGTTTGCCTGCAGAAAGATAAGTTTAAAAACATCATTTTCAAGTCTACCAAGGGAATGCAACGAAATTACATGCATGTATAAGCCCAAGCTCAAAATGATAATTTCATTCTTGATTAGAAGACATTCTTGCATGCACAACTATGTTCATAGTTATTGATACTTCATCAGGTATGAATAAACAAAGATTAAAAACATGCCCTCAGTTGTAAAGCTAACTGAATTGAACAACCTTAAACAACTTTTGAACTTAAAAAAGCATCAAAATAGTTTTAGAAAAATGACAAATGTCATTCAGTGTTATAAATATCACTTTTCTGCATTTTTTAGAGGGGAAGTGCACATCATACTCAAGGGCAAGGAGACAGAGATTTTAGGATTATAAAAGGAAATTTTTGAAAGACTTTATTTTCACTTGATTCATCACCTATTTCTTGAAGATGGCTAAAGTAATTTTCACCTCTTTTGTTTGTCAATTGTCTTTATAATTAATAGATAAATAAAATTCATCAGCCACTTACAATAATTGTAAGAATAGCACATGCAAACAACTAGTGAATACCTCTTTGATTGTGGCCTTCGAAGGAACACCGAGAACAGCAGCTCCATTCAACAGTCCATCTTTAAGGACCTTAAAAAAATAATAGAGACAAGTAATATAAGTAGGCAGGTTAACTGAATATATGTTTGGAATCATTTTTTATAACAAAATGACTCTGACCAAAACAAGTCAAAAGTGCATTTGAGTCTATTATAATTGTACAGACACAAAACATGTCATCATGTCAATTTAAACAACACGGGCCCTTATATAAAGACTCAGCCGTTGGCAATGGTCGTCGGTTAATTCCAGAGATAAAGAGAGACTCAGCATGATTTGTAAACATATGAGTGATTAAGGTGCAAATACTAAAGCACATAGTTTTCTTTAGCTCTTGTTTCATATAAACCATTGACAATAACATTAACATAAATGTTAAGTTGGTATTTCCCTAAAACATCGCTGCTTGTAGGTGGGCATTAACATTCTCACTATGCTAATGCAATAGGGTTGATTTTCTTGATGTATGCTCACATTCAGAAAAATTAAGCGGTGAACTTAGAAACGTATACGAGAGAAACTTATTAAACCCTAACCTTTTTCACATCTCCTTGTAGCACTAAAGGTCTTGCAGAATCATGGACGCAAACAAGCTCAGAGTTAGAATCAATAACCTGTAAAGAAAGGTAACTATGAATATATAAGGAGAGTGTAAAAGGGATAAGCAAGTGAAACTAACATGAACTAAAGAAACTTCCCAGCTTTAATTTATTCAGACTCAATCAAATAAGCAAACCAGATGTTGTCGCACCAACAACAGTTAATAACAATCTTACAAGGATTTCAAGATTTTGAACATTGTTTCTATGATTTCCATGAGTGTGTAAAAATTTGGTTTCTTATTCGAAATGTGGTGACCAGAATGCCAACTTATTAACTATGTTTTCTTATAAACATTATCTTTGATTTTCCCGCATCCTGATAATGTTTCAAGGCAGACTCACTGAAGCTCAAATCATAGAGTTAGCAGACTGCGCGGAGGTACACTGCTCCTAAATTTTCCACACTAATATTATTTTGATATCTGAATTGATTAGGATTTTAGTTACATCACATCAGTGATTGATTCAGCGCTTCTGATAGTCTGACCTAAGTATATCTATATTTACTTTTGAGTTATCCAAAGTTTCTGAGAAAATAGTTTGGCAAGGTTCAGGTTTGTCACACACAGCTAATCATCATGGTTTGGGAAGGAAGAGGTAAGAAAAGAAATACTGGCCTCAACTAATATAAAATTGAGCTAAAGAAAATACATGAAATGATTTCTTAATCACAAAGTTAAATAAAAATAAACAGCACATTACTTGAAAGCCATTGTAAACAGAATCCTGTCTTTCTTTTCCCGGCAGTGCAAATTTGAGTTCTGCTTGGCAATTTCCCTTCACATCTGATGGAGATAAAAAAGAATGTTAATAGCCAAGAGAGAAAGACATAGTTTATCGAAGAAAGAAAATGTGAAGAAAGAAGAAACCTTCAAAAATGTCCCTGTAGGAAGGATCACAAACGACAACGATTTCTTTGACTTCAGGCATGCGAGAAAACGTCAAGAAACTGCATAGGATTGACAGATTCTCTAATTAAATTATATTGAAAAGAAATGAAACACATTGCAAAGCACATAAAGTGAGTGAAGATATGAGCCAAATAAAACGAGTACAGGATACTACATTATATTATATCACTCAGAACCGTGTTCTTTCTTTTGCTATTAAAGTCAATGATGGCCTTGTTCCGCATAAAAAGACAGTAGATTATGTACATTGAAAAATCAACATGGTCCTAGTTATTAATATCACGATTTCATTATGCAAGAAGCATATAAACATAGCTGTTATAATGAAAATGAGATGAAATCATGATTATTACCTATAGAGTGCAATGGGTTGACCCAACAGAGGAAGATACTGCTTAGGCATGGTAGCCTATAATTATACAAACATTTATAAACACGTAAGAAACTGATTCATGTAATAGATTTTGAAGAAAAACCAAAATACTAATAACAAAAGATAGAGATCATACTCCCATCCTCTTGCCCTTCCCTCCGGCAAGCAAAACAACGGAAACGCTTCTGTCTTTGACAACAACATCAGAATCAGCCTCTTTCTCCTTCTCCTAAGAAAACAAAACACCTCAACCTCTCAATAATTGGAAGCTGTGAATTTCGGATACCAGACCGACACTAACAATATCAAAACGAATCAAATCAAAATCAACTGGAATGAAAGAAGGACTTACTTGGGAGGGAAGTGCAGAGCATAGAATTAGCCTTGAGTTTAATTTTGCAACAGATAATCGATTTTTATTTAAGCTGAATTTACAAGCTGAATACAAAGAGCAACAGTGAGCTACTAAGTAAAAAGTTATATTGAAAGAGAATTGAGAAAGAATCAGTTACCTGTAGCAGTAGCTATAGTTGCAGTAAATGGTTTGTTGATTGTTACTGGGAACGCAAACCTCGAAAGAGAAGAACAATAGTCAAACGCAATCACTTCCATCTCAAAAAAAATAAAAATAAAAATTTGGATGCTAATTACACCCTGTATTTTCGCATATTCCGGAATATTTGAAGTTTTTATTTCGTCGCTACGGACAGAGTACCTAAAATGGAGTGGGTTAATGTTGGGCCTGGGCGAATGTTATGGGCCTGGGTGGGCCCATTAAGTTGAGTTTAGAAAAGAAATGAATGAGGAAGAGAGAGAAGGAAGGAAGTATTGATCGATCTGGGAGAAGAATGGGAGCAGGAAAGAATACGGCAGAGTTCTTCAGGAGGAGAGACGAATGGAGGAAGCATCCGATGCTTGGCAATCAATTTCGCCACGCTACTCCTGGCCTCGGCATCGCTCTCGTTGCGTTTGGTGTTTACCTCGTCGCTGAGCAAGTTTACAACAAGGCCAATTCTTCTTCCTCTTCTCACCATGTACCGTACTCTCCTTCCATTTTCAATTAGGGTTTTTTTAGATTTCATCCTATTCACTTTTTATTGCATCAATTGACGATTTTATTTTCTTCCTTCACAAATCGGATATTAATTGTACAAATTGCTGATTGAATTTCATATGAATACATTTCGTGTTCATTTCGGGCGACTCGTTAAGTTGAAAGTGGTTCAGTATTACTAATTGATTATGGCTGTTGCAGGTGAAGGCTGGGGAGCACTGAGGAAAATCATCTATTCATCATTTTCCTATGTTTTGTTTGTTTAAATTGCTGTTAAATAAGCTTACTTTGCAGGGATTTCCCTTTAATGTAATTTGCTTAGGAGAAATTTTAGACTCTCTATAATGAATGAATGAATGTGTATGCTCACTGATTTCATTGAGTGAGTGACTGAGTATTTACTCTTCTCCATTCTACTGCTGTTTGTTTTTGTTTAATGCTATACATACATTCCAATTCAGGCTCTGCTTGTATGAATCACTTGTGTTTGATTGGATTTTAGAAAGTTAAACAAATGGAATTACAGTATATTTGGATGATCTCATATCTATGACAAAACTAACAACAATGAATCAGCCCATTTATCATAGGGGAATGAAATTTCCTGGTTTGAGGATAATAGGGCAGTCAATTTATTTGTTTAACTGGTGCTTTAGTTGTTGTGTTACTTCTCTATGATTATGACATTTAGACATTATTTATTGTTTAAGCAACTGGTGAGTTTTGATATCATAACACACATGATGGCAATTGGTTCATGGAAATGTTATCATTCATTCCATAAGCAAACACAGTGTAAGATTTATGATATTCATGTATATTGACTGAAAAGTATGCATCATGCTCAAGATGGGTAGTTTAACAGTTTGTAGAAGCTAGAGGTCTGGTTTTTGTTTATTTGTGTGGTTATCTCAATGTAAGAGAAATAATTGCTTCATTTCAATGACCAAATGCTTGGGAGAATAAGAAAAGCCAGATCTCCTAACAACACTTTACTTTGTCCAATTGTTTTTCGCTCCAACTTGTTCTAATGTTTAATAACCACCTTCCCATTCAGCAGCATAATTCATAGTAATTCATCATAATATTTCTGGTGGGCATCTTGCTGTGCTACAAAAGCATTCTTGCCATGTATATTGTACAATATTAGATATCAAAATAATTGGCTGTTCTGAGTTGCTGAACAATCATTATATGATGACCTATGACAAAACTTACAAGAATGACATGGGAAACGAATTCTCCTTGATTTAAAATAAGGGAGACAATTTATTTGGTTTTGCTGGTGCCTTAGAGCAGCATATTTGGGAGGTTTTAACTGTATTTTTATGGTTTCCAAACACAGTTTGTTAGGGTTCTTTATATGTAATGTAATGATTTTCCAAAAGTTTCTGCTAGGATTTTTTATGAGGGGTATGGATATTTAAAAATGTAAACGAGTTGATTAAATTATTTGAAAATGTAAAATAATATAATATAGTTGAGCCTATTTAAATAACCCAATTTTTTTGAATAGAGGTCATAAAGTAATGTACTTGTGGTGAGATTCTTGTATTGTTGTGGTGAGATGCTTGTATTTTTACTCATATTCCTTGCATTCTAAATGTTGCAAAGAACGTAAATTCCTGCAACTCTCAAAACCAGGGAGCACTGAGGTGATTTGCCATGACTACAGTAGTGGATAAGATCTTCTTCCAAATTGCCAGGTCTAATGTTGAGGTGGATGGAATTGTAGAACCAAGTCCACGGACTGTTTGCAAACTTGCAAGAGAAAAACAGATGGGAGCTGGTCTGACAATGACTTCTACACAAGTAGCAGATTGAGGCCATAGGCACGCCCTTACCCATTAACTTCTCAACAGTAGGGACTTTTTGTAGGAGGAGTTTTCCGTCAAACAGAGATTTAGAGGGAGGAATTTCTCTGCACCACAAGTCTTTTGTCCAATTCAAGATCATAGGAGAGGTTTTGAGATTGTAGGCATCTTTCAAGGAAAGCAAACCAGAGGATGATGAAGGTCACACCAAAAGGTCCTTGTCATGACTGCTGGAAAGAATGTTTGGAGGCAGTCTTGTAGTAATGTTGATGACATTGGTATGAAGGAAATTGTTGGAAGTCTCTAAAATCAAAGGTGGACCACACCAGGAATCTGTCCAAAATCTAATGAGGGTGCCCTGTCCAGGGAGCCAGCAGGCATTGTTGTAAAGAATGTTGAGTTAACCTTTGATTCCTTGCCACACAGAAGACTAGATAAGATGTTTTATGGTGCCATAATGCCCCAAGGTTCTCGCTTTGAGGATGGTAGCCTAGGATTCATCAGATGTGAGCATGTCCCAGTTCAACTTGAGATATGTGGCTTCATTTAAGGAGGTAAGGGACCTTAATCCAAGCCCTCCATTGGAGATTGGGGTGCACAGCCTCTTCCAAGCAACCATGACATTTTCTTTCTTGAAATATCTCCACTCCAAATGAAATTGCTAGCTGCTCTTTCAACAGATTTCAGGAGAGATACAGGCCATGAATAAATGGTAATTGAATTATTGATTTAACCAACATGGTTCTTCCTGCCATTGACAGAAGATAACCTTTCTAACTTGACATTTTAGCAATAACTCTGTCAGCCAAAGGTTTAAGAGTAGCAGCTTTGACTCTACTTTTGAAAATTGACACTCCTAGGTAGCTAAAAGGGAATGTTCCTCTAGTGAAACTTATCATTCTAGAAATCCTGGCAACTATCTGCTGTGCAACCTGAGTAAATGGACTTTGTTATGCTAACAACCTGACCAGAAGTAGAGGAATATCTAGCAAAAAGTTTACTCAAGGCCTAGATATTAGAATACTTCCACGTAGGGGTGGGCAGGATTTAAGTAAACCGTTTTTATCCGTCCGATCCAGAGTAACCGCTTGCATGCGGTCGGGTCAGAAACGGATGTCGGGTAAATAAGGTAGAATTACCCAGTTTCTATTGGCTTGTAGCGGTTATGTTCGGTTGGACAAATGCAACCCAAATGAAACTGAATTCGACCGCATAATTTGCGAGACGTTCTTACTCCACCCATTGGGGTTCTTACGCACCACGTGCGTTTATAAAAATATCTCTATGCTTTCGGAGATGTATCTTCGGATGCAACTTTTTTTTACTCAACGTTGGTTTTTTCCGGAGTTACATCTACGGAGAATTTCTATTTATATAGCTCCGTAACAAATTAGATACATGCACACCAGAGTCTCTTCTCTTATTCTTCATTTTTCATCTTCTCATTCTCAAACTCTCCAAACTCTCTCAAGTAAAAAAATCATTTTCCACCAAACTTCATTATTTTCAATCAAGTTCGACAAGAAGCGTTCATTTCAATGATCAAGAAACACCAACACGGTCAAAGCTCGATATAATCGGTATGTTTTCGAATTTCCGAGGTGTTTTCGAGTATTTCCCTTAAACGAGTTACAATATAGTTTTAGGGGTAGAAATCCTTAGATAGTTTTAGAAACATAGTTTAGAGACAATGTAGGTATTGTTTGTTGGCTGAAACGGACGATCAGGGCTTCAAAAATCACATTTGCATGGATAGAGGACGCCATTGTCATAACCTTTGAGTTGCAGGTTGTTCCGGATCTACATCTACAGAATAATTAAATGTTAGGGCACTTCCGTAGATGCAGCTTCGGAACAACCCAAACGTTGTAAATTCTGGGTTCTTCCGTAGATACATCTACGGAACTTGTTCCGTGTGTGTATTTTCGAAAGTATAAAATGTTAATTTTTTTTCCTTTTTATTTTATTTACTTGTATCTAATTGTGTTTTCTTTGTTATTCCGTTGCAGACATTATGGCAGATAGAGACGGTAGATTGCGACTTGGACGGGTTTTGCAGCATGCATCTGTGAGACACGATCGGAGTCAGGCCACTGTTACCGAGGCCGATATAGCTGAGGCACAATCTACTGGACATCCTTCTTCATCACATGTCTAAGACACTCCCTCGACCTCGTATCCCACCCCCATCATCGAATTATTTATCCCGAAGGCATCAGGATTCGACTGAGGGTTCATTACAAGCTCCGTCATCCCGCAGGCCTCGTCAGGATACTCCTGTTCCACATCCTGTCGATGATGTTGCTCTGGTGCCACCTCCAGAAGTTGATGACCCACCAGCGGAGGATGCTGGTCACAAAGACGATGATGAGCCTGAGGGTTTTCCAAGGGGTCCCTTAGATATGTCTCTGCTAACATGGTATGCTGACCATACTTCCAGAAATGTCTGAGATGGATAGGTAACATTACTCAGATTGTTTCTTTTTTTACATTGAAAATTTATAATTTGTACCATTGTTGATTACTAACATTGTTTCTTATTTATGGAAAATTTTCAGACTTGTGAGCCGTAGAAGTTCTGCAACCATGGGCAAAAGATATTATCTTTGGAGAAGGCACATGAGGCTTAGTTCCAGGATGTCCTTGCCACCTCTGGTTTGAAGTGAAGGTGAGAAAATACTTAGAAGGGGGGGTTGAATAAGTATGACAAATAATCAAAGATTCAAACACAGTTATTTTTATCCTGGTTCGTTGAACTCAACTACTCCAGTCCACCCTCTCAAGAGTGATTTGCCTTTCTCAGTCAAGGACTTAATCCACTATTTAATCAAACAGATTACAATAGTAACACCTAAGAACAACCGTTCTTAGTCTTCTCGAGAGCTACTGATCCCAACTGGATCCTCTTAAGGAAACCTTTTACAATCAATGTAAAACTATTACAAGAGTAAGAATGCTTCTAAGAAGCTATTATCACAACTGTGATATTTCTCTTAAGTTTAAGAACAATGTTACAGCAAAATAGAATATAAGAGCTTTGAGAGATTTTCTTTCATCAGTGATTTTTCAAGGGATTCGTCTGTTGAAGAAGATGAAGTAGACTTCTTTATATAGGCACTTAGATCCATGAAGTCTTCTCAACGTTGGAGACTGTGCTGAAAAAGCCTGGTGCCTTTTGTCTTCACGTTGCAGAATCTTTCCTTAGAATGGAATGCACAGATAAAACCTTTTTGTCTGTGTTCCTGTGTCTATCATAAAAGAGGAAAGAGCTGTTGAGATATGCCAGCAGACATATTCAAATCTTCTTCACTAAGTAAGTTCAGCTATCAACATCAGAGTCTGGATCTTCAGAATCTCCAGAGTAGAGATCTTCTGGATCTTCAGAGTCTTGGGATGTTCTTCAGATTA